TTGATGAACAGTATAACTAAGAGATATGGTATGGTGAACACTAAGGTTAGTATTTAAATACAAACAATATGTTCTTATTTATCTTGCTTGTATTTCATTTCATTTGATTGTTGAATATACAAACATATCAAAAAGCAAAACAGAACACTTTATCATCAGCGCATAAGCTGAAGAGTTTCCTGATAGAACACAACATGATGTTCCCCTATCGCCATAGCAACAACAAACACGTTTTTAGTGAAGCTCTATTTCAAGATGTTTACAGATTATTTTATCATACATTTTTTGTGAAAATTTGCTTTTACATACGTCAATCAATTTCTAAAGTACATTTTGCATATATTAACAGATTATAAAAAATATGATAAAAATTCCAGAAATAAAGATGTTCATTTAACTCGTTTTAGAGCAAGAAGATAGCGCGTAACACCTTCAAATTATAGGCCAAAAAACACTTAAATATTACATTATGATGAATCCTCCTGACCTCCATTATCAAAGTGCAAATGAACACAACTTGTAGCAGTGCAGATATGTCCCCCCATTTTTTTGCCTCCACAATTACCACCCAACTCTTCCTCCAAGTTTCTTCCTCGAATTGTCCCTAGCCTCTCTCTCTCTTCCATTGTCCTGTCACCTTTCTTCTCTACTCCATTCATAATCAGTTCATTATGATCATGGGTGGTCGGGTGGTGCAGTGGATAGCGCATTTGCCTTTTACCAAGGCGACCCGGGTTTGATTCCCCGATTGGACGTGAAAAGGTATTGGGCCACCTGCCCGACCATGTTGGTTTTCTCTGGGTACTCCGGTTTATAACATCATGTATCAGTCCATTTGTAACTCATGCATCCAAAATATTGCATTTTACCTTTCTTTTCCCCCATTATATAACGAAGGACCAAAAAGGTCTGGATCATTCATCCTGGCAAATTGAATTTGATTTGGTGAAGAAATGAAGATCAAGGCTTTTTGTTAGATTAAACATATCAGACAGTAAGCTTTAGAACAAATCATGTCACTTTAAACCTCCTGGTATATTGAAAATTATTTGAACATTTTTAATACACTTGATTCCGGAGACTCTATATAAGACCAACTCATTATTTTAGTTTCTCTGATAGCCATTTAACCCAAGTAAGCTATAGGACAAAATTATGACCACTTGCCTCTTGGTTACTTTAAAAAGAACTTCATCATATATGACCCCTGTAACCTTTAAAATGGGCCAAGATCATTCATCTAAACCAAAATGATAGTCTATTTACAGGACAAATGGTATGATTCTGGGACTCAAGATGCATTAGAATATTTGTTGAAAGATATTAGCTCATTTGACCTCTTGTGACCTCAAGTATGGGTTATTTATTTTAACACACTTTGTTGCCCTTCTCTAAAGGAAGCTATAGATTAAATTTCCAGATCCTAGTTCACACAGTTCTTAAGAAGAAGTTGTTTAGTCCCATAGAGGTGATTGTCTTTTTTAACCTTCCCATTCTACTTCCATCCTTAATCACTATCCCATCTTAAATGTCTCCTATTGTTAGCATATAAATTGAGATGATAATTTAAATTGGAATATTTTTTTAGTTTTATTTTGGCAGAATATATTTCAGGGGAGATAAATGCTTAAGGAGCTGATGATGTTCACCAAAATGTCCAATTTTACAGTATCTACCTCCGTCTCCACTAAAGGTGTAATTTGTACATAATGTAGAGGAATACCTCCGGAGTTGGCGTAGTTCTGGGACGAGAATGTCGGAGATAAAGTTAAATTGCATACCTTCATCAAATACTTGGATTAGTTCTACATCACCCATACCATCACTAAGCCAGTATGTGTGAAAAAAGACAACCAGTATACAGTTACTCTGAAAAAACTAATGACCTTTTTATGCTAGGAGCTAATTTAGCATGCTTCTCAGCATGAAATGTAATTCTGTTTTACACAGTCAGAAATTATACCGAAGCCCCAATAATCTTCGAGCACACAGCATCTGCAAAATAAGTGTTATGTAAGACTAAGTAGAAACCGTGACACCATGGTATTTGGTACTTCTGGCATCCGTCTTTCTTTAATAAATAAAAAGTTGACTAATAATAAAGACCCACACCATAAAAATTCAATATAAACATTCGTTAATACTTTAAATACCTCCTCACTTTTGCACAGATGAAGCCCAGAAAATTAAATTTCAGAAGAGTTTTAAAGTTACTTCAATGCAATGCCAACATATCAACATTTGTTACATTTCAGTGTCAGCGTGGCAGACACGGATACAACTGCCAAATTATTGAAGTAAAATGCAATTATTATCACCAAATTCTTATGAAATAAAAACTTGTCTAAGGATAAAGTTCTGAGCACATGTTTTAGTGCCAAACAAGTTTTGCATTATCCAACATGTAAGTTACCGACAAAGTTTTACTGATAGTGACAATATAGCTGTAAACAACGGAAATCTCTTGCCGATTATATTACGTCAACAACACAAAACCTTCAATCAAAGAACAAGTATATACATATGATCCAGTTGTGCAGTGAGGAAAGGAAAGGTTGAGAAAGAGGGGTGGGCAGGGGAGGGGAAGGAGTTCGGGGGTATTGTGGTGGGGGGGTTGAACGGCTTTAATTTTGATCTTGCGAAATAAAGTGGGGAATGGAAAATGGCAAACCCGAAATCTTTTGCCATTCTATTTTCTCCTGTAATGGTATTGCTTACCCTGATACAGTGAATGACCAGATATAATATCTAGTTGTCAGTGACAACTGTCCCATAAATGTTTTTTAAGATAGCATAAAATATCTTACCCGACAACTGATATACAATAAAAAGTTATGTCTTAACTGACAATGGAAAACACAACAGTCTGTCTTATGAGACAACTAAAACACCATAAATGTTTCATATGACAATTGAAGCAATTCTTTTTTTGTCTTATCAATGGAAAACACGACAGTCTGTCTTATGATACAACTAAAACACCATAAATAGTTTATATGACAACTTAAAAAAATCTTTTTTTTGTCTTATCAATAGAAAACACAACTGTCTGTCTTATGAGACAACTAAAACACCATAAATGGTTTATATGACAACTAAAACAATTCTTTCTTGTCTTATCAATGGAAAATACAACTGTCTGTCTTATGAAACAACTAAAACACCATAAATGGTTTATATGACAACTGAAACAATTCTTATTTTTGTCTTATCAATGGAAAATACAAGTCTGTCTTATTTGACAAAAGAAATACCACCAATTGACAAATAAAACATATGTTGTATTTTATCAGACAACTGTCTTTTATCTTATCTTACAACTGGGACACACCATTCATTGTTTGTTTAATATTACAACTGAAACAACTATTTTCTTTTTATCAGACAATGGAAAACACAACGGATTATCATATCTGACAACTAAATTACCACAAATTGACAACTAAAAGAAAACAATTGTTCTGTCTTATGAAACAACTGGGACACAGTAAATGTTTTATATTTCAAATGAAAAAAATGAAAAAAAATGTCTTTTTAAACAGTCTGTCTTGTATAACAATGGAAAATAATGGTTGACATTATCAGACTACTTTAGTCAAAAAAATAATGGTTGACATTATCAGACTACTTTAGTCAAAATATATTCTCCATCTTTGTTTTTTCATTTTTTTTTTATATATATTTCCAAGTGATAAATAGTGCCTCAATAAGTGTTTTAATTCTTTCAGACACTTTATTTTAGCATACACCTTCCTACAGATTTGAATCATTAAAAAAATATGAAACAAATATAACAAAAATGCAAGCAAATTCGCAACATATTTCTGTTAATAAACAGTAAGCAATGTTTTGAAAACTAAATTAAAACTGTATAAAACTGTATTGACAAAAATTATCTCCCTTTTGTCACCTGACACTGGTTGCCATAGAAATGCCCATAGTCTCCCACCAATGAGAGGATTAAGTATGAAGGGCTTCCCAGGCACTCAAGCTCAGGAGTTGTGATAATTCAATATTCAAATTTCATTTCAATCTATGATAAACTTCATTTTTTGCCAGTAGTATATATACATCTTTCTCAATTTATACCAAAACAACAGATAAAAAGTGCCTACACATGAATTATACAACTGTATAACTAGAAACTGGATCAACAATAATATGTACGTACAACCTATACAGGCGAGGAAGTCATTATTTAATATAAACCAGTCTGACTGGGTACCAAAAAAACAATTGGACTGGTATTACATCTGCCAAAGCCCTGTTGTTTAAGTATTGATCTTCTTCTCCGACGATTATGAATTCATTTACAATATAAGCTTTGTCTAAATCACCCACGATTGTCTGTGTCCTCAGATTTACCATCTTACCAGATGTACTTTCTGGCTCTTCTGGAAATTACATATCTTTCTTTTTCTACTGTTAATTTATTTTTTTACCATTTTTGACATCTTTTACTCATCTGTACTGGCAAAAAAATATATTTTGCCTTTTTATAATCATACAATAAGTATATCCTTCTTAAGCATTTCAATAAAAAATGCACTTTGTATATTCAATGTTGACAGTACAAGTCTTTTACCAAGACGGCCAGGGTTTGATTCCCCAATCAGACATAAAAGGTATGAGGTCACCTGCGTAGCCACCTGGGTTTTCTCTGTGTATTCTAGCACACACTCAAACTCTGTGTGCTTTCAACTGTGCCCACAAGTATGATTATTGTGGGTTGATAAAACTTGTTTCATATTTGTTGTAAAATAAATAAATCTTAAATTAAGCAATGAAATATCAAGGCTAAAATTAACAGAAATTGTGCCTATTTTAAATCCTGCACCAGAAAAAATGATACCTGTATTTTTCTGTCTGTCATAAACAGTCGTTACATCACACCTGAGGTCAGTTATCTTTATCTGGGTCTTTCATAAGTTTGCATCCATAAAAAAAGGCAACAATGTGCAAGTCTGGATCCAATACATGCTTTTTTTGTCGATAAATACCTTGTGTTTGGTCCGACAGAAGCATGTGTCACTTGTATTACAGTCGCTGGTGATGATCCAGTGTGGAGGCTTGACGATGTGGAGTTACTGGAAGCTGGCCCTGAAGTGGCATAGATACATCAATATCAGCACGATTACTAATTAGTGTGTGGTATTACGCAGTCAGATAACTTACATATCATTAATATTAAAAATCCAATACACACACAACATTAGATATATGGAAATGCTATTCAAGCCTCTGTGTTTTTATTTTCTCTCTCGATCTTTTATCTATAATGAATTCCAGCAAGGTTCAATGCCTGAGCTTACAATATTGGCAATTTTATCAGATGCGGACAAATCAAAGATAGTCAGCTTAATTACAGCTCCTTGTTTGCTCTAATGATATGTATGGAATAGAAATACATCTAAGCTCCGGCAATCTGCATGTATTTTCCATATTGCAAACAATCCATAATTTGGAACATCAATTCCACAAGGAAAATATGGCGGCTATTTAATTTGCATACAAAAATGTGTAATGGGATAGAAATGAAAACATTAGTATGGAATTTAAGTGATACAGAAGATGCAGGTTTTAGTAATTAGTCAAAGACCACACATACATCTGCCAATAAACATAAACACCTCATAACTCCAATCATTCGTGATAAGAAAAATGCATGTGCATTCCCGTGTGGCTATGTCACATCTCAAGATGTTGTATTCATTTTGTAATTAGAAAATACATTTCTATCTCCTCTCTGAAGATTTCCACAATCCGTCTCTTTTAATTAATGTGTTCATTATGAAAGAGGATGAAAAAATATTCATGTAAATGTTGAGATTTGAACCAAGACCTCTGTAACAATGAGCAAGTACTGGGAAACATTGGACCACCAAGAATCCAACATGGCCGACACAACTTCAAAGAGAAACTTGCAGATGTTTCCTACATAACATCCTGGTAATGTATGAAGTAAATGCAGACTGATTAATGATCCCCTTTCTCTTTAATTAGCAGTCTCGTTTATTTACTGATTTAAATACATGTAATATTTATTATTCACCATTTGGGTTAGATCAGATCCAAATTTTGATGTTATGAGTCTAACGGAATCAGACTGTCAGACAAGACAGAAGAAATATACAGGATTACTAGATTATGAGTTTGATGTCTTGGGGAATATTTTTACAGTGGACCTTCAAACGCATATTTGCCTGTTGTGCAACCAAATTAACTGGACATGCTATATTGAGACTGAGGCTGTTCACTCTGAGGTAGTTTACACTTTTATACATACATTTTGTTTGGCTCATTATAATTTCACCACATATGTTTCTTCGTTTGTAGATATACTTCAGCAAGTCTTTAAAGTCTACTATATTGAATGTGCATTGAGGAAGATGTTATTCCACCTTGACCATCCAATCAATGTCAGGTCCAGGTTTTGCTGCATATATCAGTACATTTATATTGACATGTACAGAGTTTTAAAATCCAAGAAACCTTTAAACCAGTGTCCTAAACCTACCAATCCCTTTCTACTGGGATTCTATACCAATCAGTTTGGAAGTAGACATGGTATCTCAGTCAAATGAATTATTTTCTACCATTAAAGTATATTGTAGTCATATGAATGTTTGTTACCATTAAAGTATGTTGTACAATGTATCTTAGTCAGATGAATGTTTGCTACCATTAAAGTATAATTGATTTTAGTCATATACATGTTTGTTACCATTAAAGTATTATACCTTAATGGTAGCAAACATTTATATGACTAAAATCAATTATACTATAATAGTAGCAAACATACATATGACTAAGATACAATATACTGTATATTGTATCTTAGTCATATGAATGTTTGCTACCAAACCAGTGTATTGAGAACTGTAAATGAGTTGTCCAGACACCACACAACCTGTGATCCCAATAAACAGGACCAACAACCAACAAATCACCCCACATAATTTGTTGGGGAGGAAATTATATATGGGTGACCTCTTCTTTCAAAATGTCATCAAAAATTAAATAATTGTGGTTTAAAACAGGTAGAGGACCAACGACAATGAAACAATTATCATCACCTCCTATGTATATGTGCCCACCGGCATGAAATTCTGTACAAATCTGACCCAGTCTGGTGTTCTACATCTTGTTCACAACTTGGCAATTAGTTCTTAAAAATGGCATTCAATCTTAAGCTGATGCTCCTACATTTATAATTTACACATTGGTGGATGTTTAGGTAATGGTTTGTTAAAAAGTCTTCACCAAATGAGTTTTTTTTTAGTGCAGGTAGGTAAAGAATCAGTAACCCCCATACTGAGGTGCTACATGGAGGTTGTCACTAGCAACGGGTGCCGTGCCCATATATGGCAGAGTTCCCAACCATTTTAATATCTAGCTCATCTGAAAAACAGATACAGAAAAGAACAGGTCTGATCCTCATATTTCTATTTTGGCATGTTATTTGCTTCCATTTTCATGCTTTTTAATTTTGATAACAGCATCTCCATTTTTCAAAGTCGCAAAGGATATTGACCTTATTTAAAAACAATAAGTATGAGGTTTCATACCCAAATGAAACTCATCAGTCAAAAAATTTCTTCTTTCAAATTAGAAGCAACCTCACCTTCCCATATAATTTCCATGAAACTCTATTTTTGTTGATAAGTGATAAAAATGCTGAGAAGTATTTGAACCCTGATATTCCTATAATTGTCTGTGTTGTTGAGTGACTGGCATCACTTCTACATGTGATCACCAGAAACCTTGACAAAAACACGCAACCATTGTCACTTTCATAGTTTGAGAATGATAAAAATGTCTCCTGTATTATGAATGTTAGACTGAATGCTTCGTTTGAACTCTCCTGTAGTTTCAGGTTGTTGTCTTTGGTTCATGGATTGAACCCAATATAAGCTGCAGTTGTTTGTCAAAATAAATCTCAACGTATTCTGTTAACAAGTCCAGGAGGCATGGTAAGTCAGGGGCTCACATTGTCACTACATTGCCATGGTTATCCAGACATTTCATTTTTTTGTGTGATTACAATAAATACAAATTAAAACTAAAACCACAGGGCATTAGCGGTGTAGAGTAATAAAAGGCTTTCACAAAAAGTGACAAGGGTTCCTGGATGTATCACTGTACAAAAGATTTATCCACATCAGATATAGGTATAGCAAACGTAAATGTGCTGGCATAGCTCAATACCAAGTGATTAGTCCGTTATTGGAAAAACAGACTCGTCTTTGAAAAAAACTTCCAACAGTTGGCCCTGTCGTTATTGTTCACCTGGGTATTATGGCTGGTGGAGAGCACAAAAACCGTCAAGTTAATCACGGAGAAACTGCAAATACACAACGACAGTGTTGAAAAAAAAATTCAGTCCAAGTCGTATAAAACCATTGAAAAGTGATTCTTCTCCCTCATAGGTCATATAATTTAACATAAAATTTGGACTTAATTAAATATTTATGTAGGTAAATGGGTTCATTCTCTCTCCCCATGCTCGTCACATGCATATTTCCCTTGCAAGATAATCGTGTTTCAGGGGGATTGTAAATTATTCTGGCACATATCTGCAGTTAAGATGTCCATCCCAGTCTGCGAAGCCTTTTACCCCAGGGACACACAAAAATCAGTTCACTAGTACTGATATCATAAAACTCAACATTCCCACTCTTTCTGTCGCCATAGTAACATAAAACATATAAGGGTATCTATATTAAAATCATTGGTCCCACTGTTTAATTTACCCTTGTCTATAAACAAAACAGTATATTGTAATAAATTCCCTGCACCCCTCCTATCACTTTTAGTTTTGACAGTCAAATAATTCAATAATGTATAAAAAAAATCAAAACTGTTGTCCAGGATATCAATTCAAACAGAATTACTATTAAAAGACTTAAAACAACAAGAAACAACCCATGAAAACATCTTGCGTTAGGAGAGTTGTAAGACTTTAGGTCCTATTTGAGACATTCCAGTCTCATCAAAATTATTTACATCCCTATTGTATCTTTTGTCTTTTAAAACACTGTACCATCTCAAGACGGACTGGTATACAATGAGAAGTATCATAGACAAAATGACACACAGTGAACAAAGGGCCATAACTTTGTATAGGTAGGGCACGAGACACAAAAGGTTATAACTCTGTATAATGTGGGGCACGAGACACGAAGGGCTGTAACTCTGTATAGGTAGGGCACGAGACACAAAAGGTTATAACTCTGTATAATGGGGGGCTCGAGACACGAAGGGCTGTAACTCTGTATAGGTAGGGCACGAGACACAAAGGGCTGTAACTCTGTATAGGTAGAGCACGAGACACAACGGGCTATAACTCTGTATAGGTAGGGCGAAAGACACAACGGGCCATAACTCTGTTTAGGTAGGGCACGAGACACAAAGGGTTATAACTCTGTATAGGTAGGGCACGAGACACGAAGGGCTGTAACTCTGTATAGGTAGGGCACGAGACACGAAGGGCTGTGACTCTGTATAGGTAGGGCACGAGACACAACAGGCTATAACTCTGTATAGGTAGGGCACGAGACACAACGCGCCATAACTCTGCATAGGTAGGGCACAAGACACAAAGGGCTATAACTCTGTATAGGTAGGCCACGAGACACAACAGGCTATAACTCTGTATAGGTAGGGCACGAGACACAACGGGCCATAACTCTGTATAGGTAGGGCACAAGACACAAAGGGCTATAACTCTGTATAGGTAGGGCACGAGACACAACGGGCTATAACTCTGTATAGGTAGGGCACGAGACACAATGGGCTATAACTCTGTATAGGGTGGGGCACGAGACACAAAGGGCTAATTAACTCTGTATAGGGCGGGGTACATGACACAAAGGTCTACAACTCTGTATAGGGTGGGAAATGAGATACAAAGGGCTATAACTCTGTATAGAAAGAGGCATGAGACACAAAGGGCTGTAACTCTGTGTAGGGTGGGGCACGAGACACAAAGGGCTATAACTCTGTATAGGGTGGAGAATGAGATACAAAGGGCTATAACTCTGTATAGAAAGGGGCATGAGACACAAAGGGCTATAACTCTGTATAGGTAGGTCACGAGA